TAAAGCCGTTATTGGAACATAAGTGGTTTGCAGGGCAGACTGAGCGCGGCGGAGCGCGTGACCCATGTTGGGAGTTTGAGTCCCGGCCCGGTGACCTTTGTCGCATGTCTTCCCCCTCTACCTCAACCCTCTTTCCTGTCAAGCTACAGTGAAAAACAGGCCATTAAATCCAAAAAATAATAACAGAAAAAAACAATTCCGTGGCCCTAGCTACCGGTCATTGCATGAGAGATTTGAATGTTCATGAGAGTTCAGTCACACTGCTTTTCTATTGTAGTGGATCAGGATCCTGAGGGCAACCATCCACTCCATCGTTCTAATCTGAAAGCTGGTCTGGTTCCTTCCTGATGTTTAGCCCGTTTAGGATCACAGAAACAACATATGGCACAAAGACAATATCATTACCTTCACAGTGAACAGATTGGGGGTGTCTCCGTCTGTGGCGAACATTTAAACGTTTCATGACTGACAGTTGGACCTTCACTCGTCTTTGGTTCTCATCTTGGTGTGTAGGTTGAAGTTTTTGCCTCTGGTAGAACTTCACTTTTCTCATCTTGTTGACCTCAGTGCAGAGATTCACATCATTTGATATAAAAGACATTGTAACAGTTTTTTTACCTACTCTTGAGAATCTGAACTCGTAACTTGAGGAAAACTTTGTGTAAGACCTTTTACATTTGTGATTCTCACATTGGAGCCTCAGGATCCCAGATTTCTTAGTCCTGTTTCCAGGGCTGCAGATCAAAGCTACTGGACAGTACTTCATCAGTTCTAATGCTAACCCTTGGTAGCTAGGTACCTGTCCTGGGTTGTTCCTCATGACAGGCGGTTCTAAGTCCAAACATGAAGGGATTTTATCTCTACAGCCTCCTAGTTCTAGCATTTGAACATGTAGCTGTAATTTAATGTCTTTGGCTCCCCCTGCAGGTAAAACACGAAGCACCTTCTGAGCAAAAGCAAATGTCAGGTTCTTGGTCTTGGACCTGTTCTTGGTTTGGTTGGGGAGTTTTAGATAGCAACTTCTTTCCACCTTCATCCTTCTTTATTGAAGTGTTCCCTTATTTTGTTCTAACTCTGTGGCTCATGGTGGGTAAACCAGTCCATCCAACTCTTCATGACCCCACTGTGACCCTACAGATGCTCCTTTGACCATCACAGTGACATAGCGTTAGCATGTTGGCTGAGCATTTTGCCTTTGAGCATGCTTCAGTTGTCTCTTGTCCATCTGTTTGTCTGCATGTATTTGACTGAGCATCATCAGATCTGTTTAATATGAATTTTATACTGTTAACTATAAAATTCTGTTATACTCGACCTACCAGTCTTTAAATCTCTCTCTCTCTGTTCATCCAGTCACATTTTATTTACTCCCTGTCGATATTCTCCCTGTCACACCTTCTCACGTTAGTACTTAGATTATTTTCTGCTTTTATTTTCTCCTCTCCCCTCCTCCCTCTACACCCCACCCTGTCTTCTTCCCAGAACTGCACCCGTCCTTCAGAGCCCCCCGTTCTCTCCATCCCCTTCATAGGATTGATTGTTATAGTGGCGTTGATTTGGTGCTGGTGGGAGGAGCTGGCGTCCTAAGGGACCAGGTATGGCCATGGCTTTGCTTCTTTCTGCAGCCAAGAATGGCTGATAAACGAGAACCTGCTCAGAGCACCTTAGTGCAGCTAGTGGAGATGAAACCTGATGCTCCTGATCTCTGTGTGTCATTCAGACATGCTCAGCACTGATATCATGAGAAATGAGTCTGAATAAATGTCGCTAGAAAGAAGAACACCGTGTCTCGTCTCCAGTAGAAAGCCATGTTTCCAGCCAGTTAAAGGATAGAAGGAGCTTTTCTAGAGCAAAGATAACTTCCATTAAACTGAAGTATGCAATCTGATGTTACCTTTTCGTAAAATGGGGTTGGAGGCAGTTTACAGTTTCACCATCATCATCTTTTGTCAGTAGCTTTAGTTGGGTGTGGCTGACTTGACTGTGGGCAGAGACCCAACAGCCTCATGAGGAAGGTGCAGAGTCTTCATGGAGCATCAAGAACAGAGTGAGCTCCTTACTCTGGCTGAGAGATTATAATGAGGTTCTAGTGGTTTCATATCATGATGTCATCATTTCTGGATGAAGCTCAGTATGCAGAGGTGTGACATCATCAGCGGTGATCTTTAGTTAGTGGATCAGCCCTTCAAACACTTTCTTCTCTACAGAGGAGAATGGTTCACATGAACTGGATGTTCTGTTCATTTGACTAAGATGGATCTACACCAGGAGGTAGATCCAGAACTTTCTAGAGGAGCTTCTGACCTGGGAAGATAAAGCTCTGGTGAACTGGCCTCACTGGTTTCATGTTCAGGTTACAACACCATCGTGACTGTGGCTCCATGTTGGTGAAGCTTCTGTCAGGACTTTGCTGACTTTGCTTTGGTTGTGGTCCAGTTGTGAGAGCAGAAGGTGGAATCATAGCAGGATCCCCCAAATTAGACCAGTATGTAGACTGTCAGAGATCCTTGGCAGTCTGCATACTTCCCCTGCTGGTCATTGGAAAGAATGTCATCTTAGGACATTTTAAGGCTGCATTGGTTCCATTGGTTTTCAGACTGTAACCCTGTAACTGTCATGATGGCGCCAGTGTCCTCATGTGCCCTTTGGATAAGGTTTAAGTGTTTTGGGGGTGGCAGTTAAGGGGTGCAAACCTCCTCTGGATGACTTATGATGGAAAGTGATGAGTTTACTGTCTGAAAAATGGTTATTCTGGGAAAGTGTTAAGATTGAAGGGATGAACTAGTAATCCATCAATGCTCCTTTCATTTAAAGATGAAGGAAAATAAAACATGCCTAATCTTTTGTTTTGGTCATTTTGAACTTGATTTATTCCCCCTCCCCCGTCATCAGGCCTCTGACAGCATGAAGACAGTTTTTGGTTGATCTTTCAGATGTTCAGCCCTGCTGTCTTCAGTGGCTATGGTCACGACCTCCAGGTGTGTGATTGGTTGTTGGGATGGAGAACTCAGTGCAGGAACCGTCTCCTTGTTAAGTATCAGCATGGTTTCATAGAAACTGGTTCGTCTCAGTCTGGGGCTGATTTCTCACCAGGATCATCTATTTTCACCAACAGTGACTCAGCAGAAGACCTGCTGTCAGGAGCGTGAAGTGATGGTGATCCTCCTTCACAGATCCTTCTAACATGACTCTCTCTTTTTTGTTTCCAGAAAAGCGACTCTGAAGGCTGGAACATGGCAGTGGCGGCGGTCGCTGTGGTGGCCATTTTGGTTCTGGTTGTCCCCAGTTTTACCAGGGCCTGAGGTCTAACAGGAAGTGACCTCACGGCATGCTGTGGGAACCCGTTGGCTGGCTCTCATCCATCCATGATGTCTCCATGATGCAACACTGCACAGACGTCAGAGTGGAGGAAAGACTGGTTGTTGTTCCTGGAGGTCAGCAGGTCACTCAGCTCTGGGCTTTGCAGATCCACCTCTATGATCCACTTTTATTCCACAGCTAGCATTAGAGCAACGTGTTAGACGTGTGAACTGACTGAGAACTCCTGCAGAAAAATATCATGATGTTAGAACGGTGGGATGCCTTTGAAAATGTAATTAATTAGAGGCTTTTTAAATTGGTCCTGATTTTATCAAAACTAAATCTCACACAAGAAGCAAAGTTTCAAAGTTTATCAGTTAACATGAAGCTTGTCTGATGACCGACTCAAACAATAGATATGAGCCACTTTCACCTTGACTGAGTACAAACTGGAAAGTTGAGGTAAATGTCAGCTGAGTGGAGAACGTTCCCGTCCTCAAACACACATCAGAACTTCAGCCAAACTGTTCCTTTTTTCCAGATTGAGGAATCTGGATCATAAATCTGGATTTTTAGGTTTGCATATAATTTTAAACAATGGTTTAATAATAATAACTTGAACTATATTGACATGTAGATTTTTCACAGAAAACTTGCTAAAGTTGGTTGTTTAAATGTCAAGTTTCAGGTCAAACTTTTCCTCTTTCTGCAGATTGAATTCCTCCAGAAAGCATCAAACCCAGATGTTGTAAAATGTTCTCCTCTCCCTCCAGTTAGTTCAACCCAAAGAAGAGCAACCCGTCCACACGTTGGCAACTTTCTGGAAACTCTCATGTTTCAATCTTCTGCAAATTGCAAATCAAGCCAACAGTTCTCTGTAGCATCCACCAGGGGGCGGTGCAACTTCCTCTGCAGAAGAGAAGAATCTTCTGTTTGGTTCTGTTTGGTTCTGATGGGAAGTGTTTAGGCGCTGAATCCATTGGTGATGTGAGGGAAGGTCTTTCCACTGAGCATCAGAGCCGATAAATGAATGATTCATTACTGACATTCCAGACACATCACTTGTATTTAGGTCTTTATTATCTCTTCCTGAACTAAAGTAACATTTTGCACATACTGAGAAGCTCAGACAACTAGAAACTGTAACGAGGAGAACTTTAACGTTTTCTTCATCCTTTGACTCTGCTTCAGTCTGCTTGATGCTTCTTGTGTTTTTATCTAATGACTGATGTTATTGACCAGCAAGAAAAGATCTGATGCAGTCAGCTTTATTTTCTCTAATAATTCCTTTGTAAAGTGACAAAACTTACATTTCTGTTTGTAGTCGTGCAGCAGCCAATGTAGCAGTGAAACGTGGAGCTTATTTAACTGATTACACTGTGGTAATACCAAAGTGGCTTTAAATGTTCTGATATTTTAGCACAGATTTGTGTAAGAGACTGTTCACGGGATTCAGTTCAATAAAGCTTTATATTTTGATGATGATGATGATGATGATGGGGGAAAACTGGCTGGAAAAGTAGCTCTGATTTAATTCAGCTCCAAAATATTCCTTTAATCCCAAAGAGAAATGAAATGCACACCACAGAGGTCCAACAGAACCAGAGCAGAACCAGGTTCTTAATCAGGTTGTTGAGCCTCTCCTAGTTCCGGTCCTGGTCCTGGTCCTGGTTCTGGTCCTGGTTCAGGTTCTGGTCCTTGTCCTGGTCCTGGTTCCTGTCCTGGTTCAGGTTCTGGTAATGGTCCTTGTTCTGGTCCTGGTCCTGGTTCCGGTTCTGGTCCTGGTCCTGGTTCAGGTTCTGGTAATGGTCCTTGTTCTGGTCCTGGTCCTGGTTCCGGTTCTGGTCCTGGTCCTGGT